TGTGCATGTGTGAGTGTTGGCGCACGTGTGTGCGTGCGTGTGTGCGTGTGTGCGTGTTGGCGCACGTGTGGGCGTGCGTGTGTGCGTGTGTGCTTGTGTACGTGCGTGAGTGTGTGCATGTGTGAGTGTTGGCGCACGTGTGTGCGTGCGTGTGTGCATGTGTGCGTGTTGGCGCACGTGTGGGCGTGCGTGTGTGTGTGTGTAATCGAAACCAGAAGTAAAAATGCGCTACCGTTCGGCAGACAGAGCCTTTTGAATTTTCTCGGTACCTAAGCATAGGGTAAAAACTAACTTTGGCTACAAAAAAGGGTTAGAGATGAAATTTGGTGGGACGGTGGGGGGCCACGTGCAAAATCTACCCTGCAAATATATAGTCCTAACGACTTACGGTTCGAGTCAGTTGAGCTAGGTCGGCTTGGCAAATAGTGGGCACTATACGTCGCAGCACGGAATCGGTTGTTGCGTGTGCTTATTCACCAGGCCAATAAATTAAACTGTATATACAACGGGTAGCCGGATTATAGTTGCGGTGAAATACACGAGCATCACAGTTCATGAGGTCAACGTCATAGGTCAACACTCTCGAAGAGTTAGTAAGTGCATTCCTGAGGTATTACTCAGACAGTCAAAGATTCTAGTATTTGTAATGCTGTGCATTATATATTTTATTATTGTATTCACTTGGGTGCTTCCTTTATTTGTATGACTGTAAATCGGTGTCAGTCACAATGTCAATGGCCATGTTTCGCAAAGTACAAAGTAGCTACCGCCGGCAATCTCGGGGATAGTTTTGATCATTCTCTAGACTCAGAGTCAGTCTCGTACAATAGAGTTTTACTAGTAGGCCTACTACAACTACTACTACTACTAGTACTACGCTCTCGTCTCGGTAGTATATACCACGTAAGCTCAGAAGCTAAGATCTTTTTCTTGTATTCAGAGTGAACATGTCGGATAGCAGAATAGAGCAGTTGGCCAGGCAGGGCTGGCATCTCACCCCTGAGGGCATGCAGCTATGTGAGGCAGAAGCTGGTAGCAATACCAGCAACAGTAACATCATTGCTGTTGCTCTTAACACCGATCTGAAGTCGATTGGACGCAATTGGCTGCCTGAGGAGGTTGGTATTGTGATGTACATACAGTGCATGTGCATATACCTGCGCATGCAGTAAAACTAGTACAGTAAAAATCGCATAAGTCGCCACTTGGGACCAGCATATTTGTGCCGACTTACGAAAATGACGACATACACGTAAGTCGTCATTTTGTCGACTTATATGCAGAGCTCCTCTACCGGGCGCCCGTCACCCCTATGCAGTCATAAACATGCTCCACACACACATCAGTTCGTGCCACATACATAGCAGACAGAAACAATCGGGTCCATACATCAATCAACACCGCTGCTGGCTATAACGCATGTAATGCACGTACATAGTCCGCACTATTTGCAAGTGCGGTACGCTGGCTATCTGTACCACCCGCTGTTGACTACACGTTTGGACATTGCAGGACATTTGCGGTGCACATCTGCCAAATTTTCTTGGAACACTTGCTGAAAAAATACGGTAATTCCGCGAGGCCGCGCTCTGGAGCGAACTAGTTAGTATAGCAGAATTTTCAGGGAGTCGCACGGACTCCTGCATATCTCAAATCAGGGTGACCGGCAGTAAATCGGGGTGACCGGCAGTAAATCAGGGTGACCGGCAGTAAATCAGGGTGACCGGCAGTAAATCAGGGTGACCGGCAGTAAATCAGGGTGACCGGCAGTAAATCAGGGTGACCGGCAGTAAATCAGGGTGACCGGCAGTAAATCGGGGTGACCGGCAGTAAATCGGGGTGACCGGCAGTAAATCAGGGTGACCGGCAGTAAATCAGGGTGACCGGCAGTAAATCAGGGTGACCGGCAGTAAATCAGGGTGACCGGCAGTAAATCAGGGAGTATTTTACTACGGAGTCGCGTTAATTTCGCCGATTTCATGCTCGGACCTTCAAAATTTCCAAGCAGAAAGTTCGTCAGACCTATCAATAATTTACAGTACTCCACTTTCATCAAATAAAACATCATTAAACCATTGCAAATTGCGAAGAAATAAAGCGAATAGATAGATTTTTGGTCACTGTCGACATCTAGTATCATATTTAATATTTACGATGAAATATACCAAATATAAGAGTCAAATTTACCGAAAATCTTATCGAAATTACACGTACTGATAGCATATGCTGCTACATTAGTAGCATGGTTGTTTATAACGGAGGTTATCGCGGATGCGCGCGCAGTTTCAGCATACCGGAAGTAACTCGTCGCTCGTGCGAGTAACTCCGAATGCCTGCAGACGACGCATGTATTGTATCAAACAAGGGCAAACATGAGTTTGTTTAAGCTTAGTTGGTTTTGTATCAAATAATGGACCCACTGTTACCAAACGATCTGTTAGCCAAACAAACGTTACATATTCGGACCTTCCAAATCTTTTATCGGACCTTCCAAAAATAGTGCTGAAAAGTCCCAGACCTGCAGGCAAAAATCACTATTTTCAGCCCCTGTGGGGGATGTGCGATCTGAAAAATGCGAGCTGCGAGTTGAAAAAAAACAATGCGTCCAAGCGATCAATGTGAATGAAACAATCAGTGCACACAGCAACAACTTATGTAAAGCCCGCCGCACACGCTGTGGAACTTGCTGTGCCATCGTCCACATGTGGAAAGTGGTGCAGCAAGTTCCACAGATTGTGCGGATGCAAAATCCCTCGATCTGGGTCGTGTGGAAAATATCACACATGTTTGATATTTTCTTCCACGTGTGGAAGTTTGAACAGCGTCTGAGAAGCCTTCCACATCCAATTCGCATTGTTTGCTTGATTGTTCGCTTGGTCACGGAGTGTCGTTGAAGAGAGCATTCACATAACATTTGATCGATCAGTTCTTGGATATGCCTCTATGCGAGCTGCCTGATATGCGAGCTGCGAGCTGAGAAAAAAATACAATGCGTCCAAGTGAACAATGCGAATTGGGTGTGGAAGGCTTCTCACACGCTGTTCAAACTTCCACACGTGGAAGAAAATATCAAACACGTGTGCACTGTGCAGGGTGCGAAATTAACAGGGGTCCGGAGTCAAATACTCCCTGATTTACTGTCGGACTCCCTGATTTGACATATGCAGGAGTCTGTGTGACTCCCTGAAAATTCTGCCATACTAACTAGTTCATTCCGGAGCACGGCCTCGCGGAATTACTGTATTTTTTCAGCTAATGTTCAAATAAAATTTGGCAGACGTGCAACTGCATGAATCTTAAAATGTGTTATTGTTAATATCTTTAATTTTGAACCTCAGACTGCGGACTCCCTCATTTGGTTGCGGACTCCCACTTTTTGAGGGTAGGGAGTCCGTTGGACTCCCTTGTTAAAAAGTTAATTTCTACCCCTGCGTGTGATATTTTCCACAAGACCCAGATCGAGGGGTTTTGCATCCGCACACGCTGTGGAACTTGCTGCGCCACTTTCCACGTGTGGACGATGGCACAGCAAGTTCAACAGGGTGTGCGCGGGCTTAAACTCAGTTGCACGATCTACAGGCGATCGTCGGTGAGCGCATATCTGTGACAGCCAGCTCGCACATCCCCTAGACCGTACATTGCGCCATCGGCATTTCTGATGACGACTTACAGATGGGAAATTACGGTTGTTTGTATTACGTGGGACCTGTCTGAGGGCGATGACTTGCACATAATGACGGCTTATAAATGACGACTTAGGCGGTGCTATTCCAAGGGATTTACTATGAGAGAAAATCGGGAGTTTGACTTCCATGACGACTTATGCAAATTGACAAGTTAGACGATGACGACTTATGCGAGTTTTACTGTATGTATATCCATTTCTGATCACCCCGACATGATTTTTATTTAAATTTCAAAGACAGATTTTTGCTTTTAGATTTTAGATTAAATGGGATGCATCTAAGTGTACACACTAAAATATCAAATTATACCATCGGATTCCCGTAGATTATTAAGTTTATTATACGTATTCAATCTGAGTAGTTGTGTATTTAGTCATATGAGTAGTCATGTAAGTTATGACAAAGCTCCTAAAATGTACTTACGCATGTTGTTTGTCATCACAGATAAACCGAGGTAAGCTTGATCAACTAGCAAAGATGGGAGTCGTGCAGATACAGAAGATTCGTAACGTATCCGCACCGAAGGCGAACGAAGATTCGAACCACGCGCCGCGTCTGCTTAAACTCGTGCTCACTGACGGCCACACGACCGTTCACGCTCTCGAGCTGCTGCATGTGTCACAGCTAAGCACTGCCACGCCGCCGGGCACCAAGCTCTGCCTGCTGGGCGACCCCATACCGATCGCGCACGGCCACCTGCTGCTGGGTGGCGCCACCGTGCGCGTGCTCGGCGGCACGGTTGAAGCCCTCGTTGAGAGCTGGCGTTTCGCACGTGAGGTTCCTCGCTTCGCGCGCGTGCAAGCCGGCCGCGCTGACGGAGCGCCACCGTTTGTCCCGTTTGGCAAGCGCATCATGACGGGCGGGGTCGACGAGACGAAACGTAAGACGCTGGAGCAGAAGTCGCGTGAGAAGGGTAAGGATGGCAAGGAGGAGGATGCCGACTTCCAGCAGCAGCGGCAGGCAACGATCGCTGAGGTCGCGCGAGCAAAGAACGAGGTCAAGAGCAAGAAGTTTGCCGGCACCGGCGTGCAGGACAAAACGGCGCTGATGGGACGGAGCGTCGGTGGCGCCCCCACGAGGGAGTTCGGTGCACGTGCGTCACACGATGCACCTGAGAGGGGTGAGGGTGGCGGAGACAGGGGCGGTGGTAGAGGAGGGCGCCGCCGTCGCCACGGCCAGGATGACGACGATGACGCGGAAGCAGATCCGAGTGCTTCGCGCCCGTCTGGACCGACAACTCTGTTTGACTTTCTTGAGCAGAAAATCCCATCTAAGGCAGAAACGAAGGGATCGTCAGCACCTTCTCAATCGCACGATGGACTCTCGCTAAAGCCAGGCGCTGGCTACTCCGGTTCAAGATCATCTAACCCGCGAAATGATGACTTCTCAAAGCGATATCCACAGAGATTAAATGAAAACAAGCAGGAAAGGTCCGCAAGCTATGGCAATCGGCAATTGCAAGGTGGCACTAGTAGTCGGAGGCAGGATAACCAAAGAAGTGCGTACGACGATGGAACGTCTCATCATGGTTCATATCGTAAGGAATCGTCCAATTACTCGCATGACCAACGCACGCAAAACGACCAGAAGACAAGAAATCCGCCTTACAGCAACAACAGAGATGGCGCTAGCAGCCGCTGGGGAAACTCTGCGAAGAGCGAGAATCGAGTTGAGAAGAACGGACCGCCCCAGTCTTCTTCCTTCTCTTCTTCTGCCACGAACTCTTTCTCACGAAGAGATAACTCAGGAAGGTCGGTGCCAAAGCCTGTTGATTATAAAAACCAGGCTGATGCTAGTTGGAACCCTGACTATGGACAGAGTGGCCGTCAGAGGCATTACGAAGGCAAGGCCGATCCATATAGACATTCAAATGTCCAAGATGGCAGCAGAGGGGAACAACAAAAGCAGCATAGAGATGATGCCAATAAGCAGCAAAGGGATCCAGATAGTAAGAGAAGTCAGGATGCCATCAGCCAGAACAACCGTGGTGACTACATGAATACGGAGGGTAACTCGCAGCGACGGCCACCCAACGACACTCTCAGTAATCAGTTCAGCTCGCTTTCCATTACGAAGCCTGCGGGCAGAGGGCGGCGGCAGCAGGCAGATGTCGAGGGCAGGTCGCCGTGGCAACAGAGCGACCACTGCATGGCACGTTACTGGGAGGATGGGAGGTACTACGAGGCTGTTATTCACGCCGTGTCTGGCAATGGATCAACGGCTGTCGTCAAATTCTCCGACTATGGAAACTATGAGGAGGTCTTCTTGACAGACCTGCTGCCCTCTGGTGGTGCTCCCGTCGGGGCACCTAGCACAGCAGTGCCCTCTCTGGTGTTTGTGAGTGCTGAAATGCCTTCCGTGCCACCCTTTCCCATTGACCTTGCAGAGCTAGATCAACAGGCATACCAGCAACGCAGGGTTCCCCATAGGCCATCCATGCCTCTGTACCAGCCACCCTCACGTAGAGAGTAAGGTATTTGATTAGCACTTCTTGGTATTGCCTCTTGCAACTGTCCTTGGTCCATACCACTACTCTAGCCTTTTTTACAGACAATTACAACCTCTAATCTATTTTGGTCCTAATGAGTGAAACGTGTGAATAAGTAACAGCAATATCATTCTGTGCCTATTTTCGTTGATTGAAAGGCAAATGTTCCTTACAGAAAGAGGCATTTTGTAGCATTTGCACACCCTTATACCGTGCAGCTTATGTGTACAAGTCGTAAGTAGGCATTATGTAATTTAATATGAACTACAGTAAAAACCCGCGTATAAGAACATAGATTTTAAGAACATGTTAGGCTAAAATTTCCCATTTAGACCCCTTTACATAAGAACCTGTTTTAGGCTAAGATTTTAAAGTAGGTTCTTAATTTTCCATGCAGATGAAGACTTAAAAAGAAACACAGGTAAAATAAAAAAGACGAGCTCAACAATATCGATGCAATAACAATGCCAATGCCAATGCCAATGCCAATGCTCAACAATAACAATGCCAGCACCCTGGCATTGTTATTGAGACACAGTACTTGCCAAACAAATGGTTAATGTGTTACGTGTAAGCATCATTGTACATGTATTTGTATTGACATCTCAACCATAAAAAAAAAACATGTGCAACAACTAAACTCTCCATATAACACCTTACACATAACACTACTGTACTGGTAACACATGCATCACAGTGACTAAGCCCGCGCGTAGCGCGGGTTTCAGCTAGTACATATTAAAAGTAGAAACAATTAAGAACCTATTTAAGAATCTTTTGAGCCTAATTTTTCAGTAAGCACCATTTATATAAGATCATGTTGAGGCTAACTTGGAAAAATCTATGTTCTTATACGCGGGTTTTTACTGTAACGTGCACGGTATGTGCACATGGCATGAGAGCACCGACTGATGTCCTGAAACAAAAATGCTAATGTAATCTTGTTTGTCATAGGAGAAACCCGTTTGCTGAGACTATATATAGCTCTACATATTTAATAAATTTTTTCTTTTAATGTGAGTTGGGATTTGTAACATGCACTCCATGCATTCATGCACATGGGCAGGGCTGCAGACTGTAATTGTAGACCAGCCCCTTGCAATGTTCTCCTGCTGCAAATGAGACATTTTTACCTTTTTTGCCATGTAGAATAAAACAACTATAGTGCGGTGTGCCATGTAAACTCTTTAGTTGTCCTTGTAGGAAGACGACTAATTGATGTATTTTCATCAAATTAAGAAACGGTTGTACAATATAATGTAGCATATGAATAATGTACATTTACTGTCTACTCTTTCATAAATTTTTTTATTAAATTCTTTAAGTATGATATTACAGGTGGAGATCATTTTCCATTGGCGATTATACTAAAATATAAGCTATCTCAAATTGATCATAAATCAGCTGGAGTTACTTTAGAGAAATTGGAATGTCACCTACTGGTGCTACATTGCAAGGCACAACATATAATTTGTTGCTCAAATATTCCTCCATATTTTTTTATGAAAATTATTTTTGCAAAACATGCAAAACAGGCTATTTGCAGCATGTTTTTACACTAAAAAATAAAGTTTGCATGTGCATTTTTACTTTTTAGGCTGAGATGTGAATTAATGCAGAATAAGAGCTGACCACCCCAGCCAGCGGATAGAGCGAAAAGTATAGTTTTGGATAAGTTGAAATCCCGTACAGCCTGTTTTGTTGGAGAGATAAAAACAAAACGTTTGCCCACCTCTGCTAAAGATCACACCAACCTAAGGCTGATTGGCTGACTTGGAAATGTGAAACAGCGGTCCCCTTTTTAACGGTCCTTGTATATACGGGTGCATAGTTGCATAGGACATGTCTTTGAAAAACAAATCTTACGCACGTTTGGTGTGTTCAGGGATATATATATATATGGTACAAATTTATCTCGATGGAGTGGAGGCCCACGTACCTCTGCTGTATTATAGACAAGACAATAAATACAATACAATACCTACAGTAAGATATAATATAATCAGATATATAAATAATACATTATTATTTTATACAATATATACGAAATGAACAGAAATGAACGTTTTTATTTTGTATTATTTAATCCGAATAATATTACATCAACAGATAGTGACTGGTGAGAGTAATATATACATTTATTTATGTAAAACGTTTTAAAACTGTAAATATCATAGAAATAGATAGATAACCTTATATCTGGTTATCTATCTATTTCTATGGTAAATATAGTGTTCTCAGTATTCATCATCTATTTAGACACGAGGGGGCGGTACATGTTATTTTAGTTATGGCTGCCCCCATGACCTGCATGTCGTTTTGTCTGAAACCATATAATTTAGTACTAGTAGTACCTCATGCGCCAAAAATAGAATATAAATCATTATTTCTCTTATCACGACTTTGTACTACAGCTGAAGGATTTAGCGCAGCTCAAACACGGCCGAAAGTATCTGATTCAAAGCTTTCTAAACTAAAATTACGGTTGTCATCTGCCCAAACACCAACACTGTCCAGTTTCTTAGAAAATGTGCAAGAAAGTAAGCAGCAACTGGGTTATGCTTGTGAAAACGAGTTAGAATCGGTGCCTTATTTACCGACAAATTTAGGTTACGGAAATGACAGAAAGGGTAAGCTTGATTGTCATTCATATTTATAAATTATATGTCCTTCAGTTTAACATGATGATGTTCACAGTTCAACACCTTCAACACAGTGAACTAGTTTTTAGCTCATCTGACATAGTCAGCTTGTAGAATCGCATGATCGTCCGTCCGTCCGTCAACAGTTGGGCACAAATCTAAACGGCTCGACGTACGGTCACGATATTCGGGACGTGGGGGGGTAATCCGAAAACGAGTTGGGATGTCGAAGCTGAGGGTCAAAGGTCAAATGTCAAGAGGTGTAAAAGAAGGGGGAACATTCCCTCCTTAACTTGCCGAAATTGGAGGT